GTCCAACGACAGTAACGAGTAGACGACAATTTAGAACAGTTGAAACCACGACGACAAATGTAACGCACCAGTACGCACTTTCTCTCACTGCACTTCTGCGTCATTCTCTCTCTAAAACAAGGATTTTTACGCTTGATAACAACACCTGGATTGAAGATTTTTTTTTTAGACACACAATATAGGTATCTATAGTTTGGGTTTAGGTCTGTTTGTGTCATGTCGTCGTCGTCTTCTTCGACTAAGTTATGCTTCAATTCGAACTGCAAAGAGCCGTTGGAGAAATGGAGAAGAGGTTGGCGTCTTCGCACTGGCGAGTACGCTGACCTTTGCGATCGCTGCGCGTAAGCAATATACTTTCCATTTTTTTGTTTTACTGGTTTGACTTCAAGTTGACTTTTCTTTTCTGTTCATCGTTTGTTTAAAATTTGAATTTTGAATTTCTGATTCTTTTTTTCTTACCTTTTTAGTGAAAAAAATGGAAAGCTTTGTTCAGCAAATACGGTTTTCTGTATGAATACTATTTGTGTGTTCTCATGGTTCACAGATTTTGAAAATGGACTTTTCTACGTCAGTCAGTGTTTAGATATTTTATTCAGCTTTGCTTCCTCAAGTCAATAATTTACTGCTACCATTTTTCAACTTCCGGAAAAATGTATTGGGAAAGTTTCATTAGAGCATCTGGGCTCTGGCTTAAAGTTTCGTGGTGGAAGGAAGAAGACTGGAACTTGGGTGTTTGGCGAATTTTACATATAAGAAAGAGCATGATCCTTTATAATTCATATTTTTGTTGACTGATAGTATCCTATTCCGATGTTAAGTTAGGATTACTAGGTTATGCTGCGTTTGGAGTGGAAAATGGAAATCGGGTTTTTGGGACTTGCCTTAAATGTTGGAACTTTTAATTGGTAAATGGCAAAGTACAACTTGGAATGCATAATTGTTGTTGCTTGACAGTATTATACTCCGTTTGCTAGGCTATACTGCAATTGTAGAGTGGAATATCAGGTTTTTTTTGATGTACACTAACTGATTCACTGATTGAACTTCCAACTAAGGAATTGGCAAAGGAAAATCTTTGTATCAGTAGCCTCGCTGTGGATTCCTTTAGTGGAAGTTTCTGGTCATATTCATCTGATGTAGATTCGTTTGTAAGAGAAAATCATTTTGTTGAACTCTTACTTTTCGATAAAAAAATTCCCAACTTCAATATTTCTTAAGCTATTTTATCAGTTCTACAGATAAATGATAATAGTGATTAAACCATTCCACATAAAAAATTGGGGTTTCCCTGTTGAACAACGCTCGTAAATTTGTTTAGGGGGCGGGATCTTCTTCTTCTTTTTTCTTTGTCTTAGTATTATTATTTTTATTTGAAAGGAAAAGGGAAAAGGGAAGACCTTATTTGCCTGTATTACATTCCTTTTGTTTTTAGTTCAAATTAGATAACAAATATATTTTTCTTATTAGCGAGATCACTGAGATATTTTTTTTATTAAGAACTTGTTTGTCTGAAATCATTATCTTCTTATAATTTCAAGTCAACTGTCGAAGTCAAATTTAATTGTAACCATCCATTCACAACAACTATCCACTTAGGGTGTGTTTGATGGATATTATTGAGAAAATAATGTATTTAAAATAGTGATATGATGAGAAATATGTGGTTAAAAAATAACAAAAGTTATTGATGTGATGGAAAATATTATTTTATTAAAGAATGTGTGGTTGAAAATGATTTTGAAAAAATGTATTTTGAAAGAATGTGTACCAAATAGGTGGCTTATTATCAACACATATCGTAGGACTCTCTAGTCATTTTCACTATAATTTCATTACAATTTTATTCAAACAAGCACTAAAATTACTTTGTGAAACTTGTTCTTGGTAATCTATGGTGCACGAACACTCCTATTGGTGCTATGTGCCCTTGTTCGACACATGTCATATTGTGTCCATCATGATACTCCTCGAACACTCCATGACCTATACTATGTATATTTCCTTCCCGACAGAGTAATATCAACCACTTTAAAAAATTTCATGAACAAAATTTAAAACTAAGAAAAGAACTGATCTTATAAAACATAAAGATAGAATCATAAATCTACAATTTTAAAGGATTTACATTAACGCGTTTGTGTCCTACGTTTTTAAAAATCACATGCTAACGTGTCCATGTCGTGTCATGTCCGTGTCCTTTCAACAGCGTTGGTAGTTCCTGAACTGCGTCTAACTCATATCACTTTTAAGAAGTAAATTTTTTAAGAGTTAACATGGATTTATTAGCCCAAGCATTGTGTTTGTAGACGATAATAATTAATTTCATTTTACTTTTGGATAGAGAGACAACTTAGAAACTTATGTCAGAATTGACTTGCTTGCAAACATATTAGAGAAAAAAAAGAGTTGTTTGTCTTTCTAAATTTTTTCAGATTAAATGGTTTAATGTGCAAAGTAGGACTTCATGTAAATTTTCCATACTACAGGTTGCATCAAAAGTGAAGTTTAAGTATTAAGATGCGCCAGCTTTCTTGTGTTTATGGGTGCATTCACGAGATAGCTTCATATCGTTTAAGTGACTTTTAGCCTTCTTATTTACTTCGTGAATACGTTTCGTAATTTCATGTGAATGTAGTTCTGCTTACGAGGATGGAAAATTTTGTGAGACATTCCACTTGAAGGCTACTGGTTGGAGTTGTTGCGGATCTTGTGGAAAGGTGAGCTAACTTTTAATATTTGTAATTCAGGAAAACTTAAATCCTGGATTTGTTAGAGATTAGACATGAAAATTTTGACTTCCGCATTTTACTTCACAACATTGATATTATTTAAGTCTTGAATGATGAATTCTTCTTTGCAGCAAATACATTGTGGATGTATAGTTTCATTCCATATGTTCATACTATTGGATGCAGGAGGAATTGAATGCCTGACCTGTGCAAAGAAAAGTTACATTTTGGTAAGGATAATATGGCTCCTTTTTATTGGCTTTTTTGTTTTATATTGGAGCCCACAGCTGTTAAAATTTCTGTTATATCATATTTTCTGATGTAGTGCTTGTACATTAAATGATTTCTGTTGGATGTAGAACCTTTCAGTGCTTGTGACGTGGTTGTAGTATACCAAACTCTCTTTTGAAAATTTCTGAAGGGTCCGCACTTGATTTAAGCAACCATTCTCTTGTATTTGGGGATTTTTCATTTGCTTTAGTTTTTTAATACCTGCAAATGCTTGTTGACCTTGATTTTCAGGAAAGAGAGGGACTGGGGATTAAAAATTGTCCTCCAGTAAAAGTAGGATGAGTTTAGTAGCAGGGAATGGTAACTCCACGTACTACTTGAATCATCAGGCTGCATCAATCTAGCATAGCTTTTATAACTCCCACATGGCCTTCCCTAGATTGACTTCCCATGGTACTGATGATATTACGTAAACATGCTTGTTTTGCATAGACCAAATGTGACTTTTTTTAAAATTTCCTACCTGAAGAAGTTTTACACGGAGTACCATGAGACAGTGCTTGTGTTTTTGCCAAACATAATTGCTTGCTTTGATCATAATCCTGTGATTTCACATTCCTTTAAATGATTGCGACCTGAATCCTAACCTTATTTGCCCTGTTTCAGACCCCAAATCCTGCATGGCCACCACCTTCTCAATTTCTTCCTTCACAGCACGAAAGTTTGAAGGACCTCTCCATGAAAAGATGGAGTTTGATAGCTGGCTCAGGTCCTGTGCCGTGGCGAAAGGCACCCAGTTTTTTCAATGGTTCTGGTGTCCAATCTGAGTTGCAGCCTGGGATGCCCTTTGAAGTCGATGTAGTTGGTGGCATTGATAGATTTCGTATTAGTGACAGATTTTCTATCTTTTCTCTTGAGAAGAAACAAGAAAATTCCTTTGACAGATTGATTGACAGAAAGCTGATTGTTGGTCCATCTGAAACACTTGAGAATGAAATTTCTGGTGATTATCTTTACTATCATTTTTCCTTCTGTGAAGAAACTCCTGGCTACTTGGCATTTTCTCCGCTCTTTGAAAATTTTAGCATACAAGAAAGTAAAGTATGCCCTGCAATCTTATTCAAACTATTTTTTGCAGCATCCAATAGGGAAGAGAAACCTAATCTCTCTGTAGCATCAGTCGTAAAAAATGAGTCTTCTGCTTCAAATATGAGTTTGGCTTCTGCTTTTTCATCCAAATATGAAACAAATAATATGAACCATGATTGTGCAAGTCTTTCACAATGGCCCACTCTTTCAACTCCAATGGGCAAGCACGTCTCCAGTCACAATGGAATGAACTCAGCTGGTGAAGCTGTAGTACATACTGGAAAGGCTCGAGGAGATTGCCGAGGCCGTAATCAGTTGCTACCTCGGTATTGGCCACGAATAACTGATAAGGAGCTACAACAAATTTCTAGCAAGTATCCTATGGATTTACAAGACTTTATAATGTTTTTCATGCCTTTGATGATCATTATCACGATAGTTTTGGAGTTAGATTATCTATATAATATGCACCTAATTTGTACAGTCTCGTCATAAGAGACCTGCATCACTGCATGAAGAATCTGTTCGAACTTCTCCATTAGTTAAACTCAGCATGTCATTGACGTTGCAATCTGTGCAATTCTTCAATTTAGTATGTTGATATGACCTTATCGTCTAGTTAGTTCAAACTCAGTCATTACACCTTTATTTGAGAAAATACTGACCGCTAGTGATGCTGGACGGATTGGACGCTTAGTGCTGCCGAAAAAGTGTGCAGAGGTGAATCCCTAAGTTTATGTGTTTACTTCAGCACTTCAATCCTGCAAATTCTTCTGATCGACATGTGGTTAGATAAATTCGTATGATTGTGGTGCATTTTGCAAGCACTAAAGTTACTGCATCTGTATGCACTCTTTTTTTCATAATTGTATACATATGTAGTTATTTTCTTCTACTTGTCTGTATAGACATAAAAATAACCTGCAGAGAACATTCTCTAACTTGAATATGTTGCAAGTTCTTTATTTGATAATACTTGCATTTGTGTAGACTTGTGATAAAAAGTTTAACTTCATGTACAATGGGACAGGCCTATCTTCCACTGATATCTCAGCCAGAAGGGTTACCTCTGAAAGTACAGGATTTGAAGGGAAAGGAATGGATATTTCAGTTTCGGTTTTGGCCAAATAATAATAGCAGAATGTATGTCTTAGAAGGAATCACTCCTTGTATACAATCAATGCAACTGCAAGCTGGTGATGTAGGTAATTCATCAGTGCTGCCTATTTCTGTTGCTTGTGATTGTTTCCCTCTGTTATCGATTTGATTTAGCTTTACTTATTTTGTTGATTTGAAGTGTCCTTCCTTTTTCTTGTATTGCTAAGGTCATTTATTAATTCTTCAATGTTATTAACTGTCCAAAGTGACGCTTTAAGTTTTTGCATTCTTTGCAGTGCCGCCAAGATTCTCATTGTGGTACATTAGGCTGAGTCTACCATGTGTTATTTCTTATTCTCCCATTACCATCATTTTGTCAAATTTATTGTCTTACTTTCCTGTTAAACTAAGGTCTGCCTAATCCGTTTGATATCGTTATTTCATAGTCCGTCTGAATTGGAAGAAACTGTTTTATGCATCTTCTTAATGTTATAATACATGGTGTGTTTTTATGGTTTGTTTCTCTTGTCATCGAATTGCAAAATAAGATTTGATTTATCTTGTCAGTAACGTTCAGTAGGCTGGAGCCTGAAGGGAAGTTGGTCATGGGAGGCAGAAAAGCTTCAACCACTCCATCCGATCAGGTTTGTCCATGTCCGATGAAACAGTGCACTTTCCTCCTAATTAAAAATTAGTGATTAAAACAATGTTATGTCTCCGTCACCAAATTTAAGGCAGTTTTATGAGTATGCATCCTGAGTTGAAGCTGTTACATTGCATTTTAAGTGGGTCTGAAAATTCCGTATCTTTGATTATATAAAGGGTATGCATGTATTTTGTATAATTATTGTATGTTTGGAATTGAAGATTAAGCACTTAACTACTTTTCTGTGATATTGTTCTGTATATAGGGAGTTGAGGCTACTTTAACTGGGAATAATGCTTTGGCTCCTGAGGATGATAGTGGTAAATATAAATTTGGAGAAATTAACTCAATAAATGGTCTCACGAAGGGTAATTCTGTGCCAACTAGCTTTTTGCCAGGTAACCAGATTACTAAAGCAGATTCTGGAACAACCTGGTCTGAAATTTGTAAACGGAGGTTCAAAGTGAATGAAACACTTGAGGTTAAGCCTATTAGTCACAGCAAGAGGAAGAATAGCATCTTGGGTTCGAAAGGTAAACGCCTTAGGGTTGAAAATGAGGATTTGATAGAGCTGAAGATCACGTGGAACCAAGCTCAAGGATTGATGCGCCCATCTCCTAAAATCGTTCCCACAGTTTTTGTAGTGGAAGACTTTGAAATCGAAGAATTTGAGGTATCAGGATTCCTTTCTCTGAAATTTCATTGGTATCTATTTTGTAGCAACTCTGTAGTTGCATATTTTCTTTACTTTTTTGACGTAGCTTGCACCTTGAGAGTTGTCTTCAAGAGATGATGGATGAAATGCTTTGTTCATGAGAAAACAATCCCATTAAGGAATAAACACTCGGAGTAAATTCATTACACTTGGTGCTGTCCTCAATGCAGTTCTTATTTAGTTCACATTGCAACATCATATCGTGATGCATAAACTAGTTTATATAGAGCTTCAGCTCCAACTTGAAGTTTTCATTAGGTTCTCTTCCACATTTTTCTTTGACGTGGAAGTTTTCTGGCCAGTTAATTTATTGCATAATATAATTGTTGTGAATGGTTTACTGGTAACCTAACTTCTTTTTTGATGAATAAAGATGGTCCTAGTGTTTGACAGAAGCTAAATGACTGATATGAAAGCATTGCAATGGGCATCCATTACTTTCCGTTTTCCTAATTTGATTCTCTCTTCAACAGCATGCACCAATTATTGGAAGGCCTACTATTCCCGCAATTGATCATTTTGGGTAAACTACTTTGCTTTTATAAGAGTTTGCATCTCCCTCCCCATATCTCCTGTACTTTTTTCACTTAACTGGTGAATGCTAATGTTATATATGTTACCTTAGTGAAAAGATACAATGGGTTCAATGTGACGACTGTTTAAAGTGGCGCAAAGTGCCTGCCAATGCTCTTCTTCCTTCAAGATGGACCTGTTCTGAGAATGTATGGGGTCTTGACAGGTATCCTAACTTTTATACCCATTTTTTAATCCCGAAATTCTATTTACTGGTGTCTTAACGTTTTTACTAGAGTGCATGTTGACTTTAAACTTAAAATTTTTCCCCATATGTTGGCCCTTTCCTAGACGTGTTTCTATATTCTTTTCCCCCACTTAAATGAGTGATAACTGTTTTTGCCTTTTGTTTTTCCAGTTTTGTGTGATTTATTGGTTAAGCGCGACGGTAGTATCTCAGGATTTTCATATATTTCTTTTCCTGTGTTTCTTTGGGTTTTCTTTACATAACTTTTCCTGATTCATAGCACGAACTAGACTGGAGAATTCTGTTCTCTTCCTGTACCTTTTCTCCTTGTCGATATCCCTGAAATGCAAGTCTCTAATTTTGAGATGTCATTACTCTCTTGATTATGGAAGCCTTTAACTGGCTTTTTCTGGAGACTAGTATATAGTTAGGGCAACAAGCAACGGAATCCCTGACGTTAATGATCATTACACACCATTCGCCAGGTTTGGAGTCAAATTAAAATCATCTGTGATTTTCAACTGGCAGATGAGTGCACACTTTTCATGTTGTCATCCCAGTTTTTATGGAACCTCTTACCTGCTCTTAGCGAAATAGATCAATGGCATAAGAGCAGCAGCAAAAGGGTCACCCCTGATTCTGAAAAGATGAGATTAACAGGAAACAAAAAAGAAAAGTGTCCCCACTTATCAATGCCTGCTTTATTGCAGTCAAACCCTGAATATTTAATTTCTTAATGAACCTCTACCGGAACATGGTCTTTAAGTTTTGTATTTATGTTCTAACTTGAGAGGTCGTGCACTAATAGGCTGCCCATAAGGTACTGGAGTGTGTAACCCATAAGGTACTGGAGTGTGTAAATAATCTGACAATATTGATACTCTATAGGAGCCTGTCATACTGCCTTTATCAACAATTCTTATTCTTGATTTAGCATTTCCTTAAGTTCCTCTTGTTTGGAAGCTGTGTTAAGGCTAATTCTTCGATTTTCTTGACAGTTTTTTTTCTCAATTGGGACTGGTACTAATTTATCAAGAAAAGTTCTAGGAAACTTCTGTCAATTCGTTGTATTCCATTAGTTCTAAATAGTTCTTGAACTGTCTTAATATTTTCCAATCCTCTCTACATATCAGATCTTTATGTTCGGCTGCTGAGAAATTATCCACAGAAGAGCTTGAAGATATGATACCTACCATTAACAAAGGCGTGTACTTCCTTTTCTTCTCTTGCGGTGTTGCTCAATTTCCTTCCATTGTCACATTTGCTAATGGTATTCTAATTGTGCAGTTTCTTTTAAGAAAAAGAAGAATGAGAAACGGGATTCAGATTCGATTGTGGCTCTGGAAGGACTCGATGCACTTGCTAATTTAGCAATCCAAGGGGAGGAAGACGTTCTTCCAGCTTCATCACAAACGGGACTAAGGCACCCACGTCATAAACTTGGCTGCACATGCATTGTTTGCATTCAACCTCCCAGCGGGAAAGGTCCCAAGCATGAGCAAACATGCGATTGTGTAGTCTGCAAATCCCTGAAGCGCCGTTGCAAAACCCTGAGGGACAGGCGTGAGAAGAAACAGTTGGAGAAAGAGGCTGAAACTGCATATCCAAGTCAACTACAAACTGAACAAGTGCCGGACAATGATAGTTGTGTTGATGACTCCAGTGAGAGAAAATTCTTGATCTCACCCTTGAAAGGTCAAATTGACCTTAACATCCAGCCGGAGCGGGATGAAGAGGTGTCACCTGGTTTATATTCCGGAGCCATGAAATGCTCATTTACAGATGCTACAGACGTAAATTTTAGTCAGCAAGGATATTCAAGTTTGGGTGTTGGCATAAATGTAGTTGGCAAGCAGATGCAGGAAGACGGCACTGGTCAGGCTAACTTCAGCAACAGTGTAACCCTGGACTGCCATCTTGAAAAAACCGATGTGGACCGTCATCTGATTTTACCAATGGACACGGCAGGATCCACATCCTCGACCGCTACATAAGGTACTCTTTTGGGATGATGCAATCATTAGAGCAAGTCCAAATTTATGGCCAAGTAATTGTTTGCAGCTTCCTCCGTAGTCAGCTTTGCCATCTTGCATTGTTAGAGCTGTAAATCAGGAGTTTATTGTGGTTTTTCTATTTATCTTCGCTAAAATAGTAGTTTGGCGCAAGATCTTAGGGTGAATGGAGCAGCTGCCCTTACGTTATGATCTTTTCCCTCATGACGGAAGAGAATTGAGTTGATGTAAATTTAGCTCACTCAAATATTTTACTCGTGCATTTAGATAATTTGTCTCTAGAGTTTTCAAGTTACACTATTTGTAGTGCCATCAAACTGGGTCGTGCTACCCGCTTGGGTTCGAAAAAAGCCCGGCAACATGCCTGTGCTGGACTGCCCTTCTAGTTGGGCTATGTCTGGTTTCTCATTAGGGAAATTACAAAAAATCAGTTGTTTAAAGATTAGTTTTAAAAAATCAGGTCTACAATTTATTTATTTAAAAATCAGGTACTATATTAAAAC